GAGCAAGGGTTCCGGAAGTAAGAGTGGTGTTATTTACCACAGGCACGGAAGGTAAAAGTAGCATTAAGTTCAGAAGTCCTGTGTCAAAATTTACTACTGTAAATTCATATGTCACTGGAACATCATCACCAGCAAAAGGGAAAATGCAGGATTTCCCTTTTGCTGGTGTTGTTCGTGGGTTGTCATGATCACATTTGATGCATTGAGCAGGAGGCAAGGTGAACAAAGTCAAGTCTACCAAGGAGAGACTCTCAATGCCACAGGTACCTCCCTGGAGTGAAGGCTCTAACATCTTCCGAATGATCTCCCTGCTATCACTGCTGAGATTGCTTGCTCCCTTTCACTCTCACCCAGTGAAATGATGGGGTTTTGTTCACTGGATGTATTACAACAGAAGCTCTGACCATCTGTAGGAATCTGCAGTTGCATCCTGCACTGCAGATCGTGCAGTGAATAGGTGGTTTAACTAGATAACCTCTATGGTACTTTGCAACTCTATGATTCTACCATAGAACTGAGAGGCATTCAGCCAAACAAGGTGGTGTTGGAATACTTTTGTAACTGATTTTAGGACAGGGTTCCAGAAAACTACATGGACTGCTGTGCTGATGTGGCTGGGTCTCTTTTTGGCAAGTCACATTACTACCGTCCAATTAATCTCTTTTCCTAGATCACGGAACATTGATATAATTTTATTTTTCATACAGGTTTTTCCCAAGAAAAAGACTCTTTCAGAAACTCACTTTTATCCAGTATGTAAGAGAAAAATCATATTTAAACTTTCAAAACAAAAGTATGCCACAAAGCATCCAAACCTTCTTTGAGAGATGCAGTAGCTTTCTGGTGCTCATTACATGTAGATTGTAATCAATTAGGCAAGGAAATTGAGGGTATCTGCCCCAAGATTCTTCACATGGTAGAAAAAAAAGCTGTGGTAAGAAGTAAAATGTAAAGTAAAATTAGAGTTCTTCTTACCCTAGTAAGAAAGAGAGAAAGAAGTTAGTTCTACAGCAAGGGCTAGTACAAATTTATACTAAGGGTCAGTCAATGGTCAATTGCTGATATAGATCATATACCTTACTGATATCTGTAGAAGGAGTATCTATTAATATTTGCTAATGACCTTTTTCAGATGTCTGCTGTCTCACAGGGCAAAATGTAATACCATTAACTCCCATGTTTTCAGAACCTAAAACCTGATAGCTGCAATGCCCGTTATGTAGGTCTGTGTCACCAAGTGCATCTTGCATCAATGCTTGAGCGTGTCCTATTTTTTTTCTATAGGACAAAAGAGGAGAAACTTTCCTGTCAAGGGCTGCATTATCTCCATCAGACGCTGTTGAAGGTCTGCATTCCAACTTTGCAGATGGCCAAAGCCAAAAGTGGATGAGACAAAATGTGGGTGGGCTGACACAAAAGCAGGGCAGGCCCAGATAGTCACAACTGACCCGGTAACATGACATATGACATGGCAACCTATCATGGGTAACCAGCTATGTAAAAATAATTCATGCAATTTTTTAAAAGAGGTGACAACCCCTCTAATATGCTGCTGGGGCTTGGAGATCACTGTTTGCAGTCTCCAAAAAATGGTGAGGAGGTGGAAAAGTACCTGAAAAAGGACTCACAATTGCAACCAAAAAAGGGAAAAAGGTGGTTTTAGTTGCAAAGTTCCCTGGGGACAATTGACCATGAACCTGGTCATTTATCAGGCATCTGCTGGGATGTTCACAAACATCCATGGCTTATTGTCAGAGTAGATTAGCATGACATGTGAACCTACCCACTGAATATACCTAGCAAGTATGCAGTCCTCCATCTCTAGTCTGACACATTCCCACACAACTGAATAGATGTAGGCTGGCTAGGAGGCACATACAGGTGACCAGGAAACTAATGCCCAAGGTAGATGTAGCTGCCGTGTTCCATGGTCATCTTTCCAAGTTGCCCTATGTGCCTGCTAGCCTGCCAGATCTCATTCATTCTCGCTGTGGCAGGCAGAACTGGGAGGGGAGCGTTGGAGAGCAAGAGAGAGACTTCAGTAGGAGGCCGGGAGAAGAGGGAACTTGGGAAGCCAAGCATGGCATGGCGTGGTTCTGCTGCCATCGGAGGTGTGGTCTGGGAAGAGCCCTGCCCTCTAGGCTGGTGGCCTGCATTTGGGCAGCAGCCCAGAGGTAACCCATGGACTGGGGCTTGCATATCATGCCCATTTCTTCCTTTGGTCACTTTGCAGTTGGCATATGTTTCATTGTACTTTGTTGCCAAGCCTTGGAGCTTATCCTGATCGTGTCCGCACCCATGACACCAGAACGTTGCGCTAGAATCCTGTTACCTCACCGTGCCAATGGCAGTGCCCAGTAACCCTCTGCAACTAGAAAATCCCACAACTTCAGTGTTTAACCACATAAGCTAAACCTGGAGAAGAGTTTACATCTGATGTCATGTGAGCAGACTTCCTTCCTGCAATGGGGCTTCCCGTTGCTCTAATTTCTGTGGCAGCTTCCCCATGATCAAATCCATTCCAGGATATCCCAACCCACACAGCCCTGTGGGAAGGATTTGAGAAAAGATAAGAAGGTAGATGGGCATAATGCCACCAGCTGCCCTGCCTGAAGGAACCTGGTGAGCTATTATTTAACAGGGTTGATTGTGCTCTGCATTTTTCATGTTACTTGACTTGTAAAATGCCTTGGGAGGATTCGTGTCCTTAGAAGTATAGAAATAGTATAGAAATAGAAGTAGTATAGAAATAATATTGCTTTAAAAGGGAATAAAACATAAGGCAAATGTGTGTGTGGCATGCTTGTGGGTGTGGCACACATATATGATGCACTTATTTGTATATGTGTGTGTCCCATGCTTATGACACATCTGTATGCAATTTGTGCACATATATAACACTTAAAGGTGTCCTGCTTATGTGCATCATGCTTTTGTGTTTTGAATGCATATGTGACAGGTTCGTATGCGTGTCTTACATGTTCATGTCTGTAGCAGGCTCGTGCGGTATGTGGCATGTGCTTCTGTGTATCTGTGGCACGTGTGTAACATGCTTGTAAGAGTCACATGCTTCTGCAGCATGTGTACATGCGGGGGGGGTACTTTGTGGTATGCTCATGCATGCATTTGGGTCTTGGCCTCTGGCATACTCCTGTGTGTGCTGCGCATGTTTTCATGTAACACATGGGACAAGTAAACCTAATCGAGAGATGACCCCCCACAAAAACGCATGCATGCCACATGTGAGCACTGATACGTTTGTGCCATTTGCAAATGCATGCAGCCATATGCAGCAGCACCTGCTGGAATGTATGCCCTAATAATTTAAGAACAGTGCCTAAGTATTTGTGGAGTGCCTCTTCTTCCCCGCAGGAGAAGACTCTCCCCTTACACTTCTTCTAAACAGCAGGGATTCTAGAGCAGATGGCATCTACCTTATGGGATGTGGGATGGAGAAAATTAATCCTCTACCTAACTCCAGGCACTGTCCAAAGCCATCACTTCTTTTGCATACCCAGAAAGAGCCCATCCTCGCTGGGATTAAGTGCAAGGACCTTCAGTCCTCTGACCACCTCCTTCTGCCCACAATTCATTGGTAACCCCTCTCTGTTCTCATCTCCTCCTCATCTCTCTGTTCTCCTAGAAAGGGTTTTCCTTTCTAACAAGGAAGATAACACACTGTCCATGGACACTTCTTTCACTCTGATCCAACAGCCTCCTCACACCTCTGGGCTCTTCTCTGATTCTGCTCTCCAACAGTCCAAACACCAAGGGACTCCTAGATGTCGGGAATGGACAAAGGATTCCCATCATTCCCCACTCAAATAGGGACACAAACATCTCATTCCCAGAAGCCCTTTTGTGTCATGGCAATATTTGGGTGGTTTGCAATAGCAGCAGATTTATCAGGACAGGGGTAGCAAATCCAGTTGAATCACGGTAGCTGAAGAAATAGAGATTCCAACTTCCTCCTATCTAAAAGACTTCCACTCACCCACTGTAAGAGTCTGACAGGATTTGGGGTCCGTCAGGTGATAGTAGAGCTATCAAAAAAAGTGCGAAGCGGTGACAGAATTTAAATTTACAGATTAATCTGCAATGACTGGGGTAGCTAAACTATGATGTCATAATTGTATCAGCCAATAGGAAAACATTTTCACCCAACAACTTTCCAAGTTGGCAGTTTTCAGCTAGCCTTAACATATTTTCTTATATTTATATTTAGTTATTTAACATATAAATTTTAACATATTTTATTTAAATGTTAAATTTTATTTAACATATAAATTTAACATATAAATTGCCTAGAGTGATGATCTTCACTCACAACTTTGTTAACAGTTGACAACAGAGAATGCTGGAGTTAAGGAGGGATCCCCATTGCCTTGATGTAAATCAATTCATCCTCTCATCCAGTGAGACTTGTTACTCCCACAGACACGTTTGGTTCTCTTATGACCATAACTCAGGCTTTGAGGAGAAAGTGCTATTTCCCCATCAATGATCAACACAGCTTTCATAATGTCTGTTAAATTTGACTAATTGTGATGAAGTGTGTCAGTTCCTCCTAGAAATCCCCATTTGTGAAATTTCCTTTATTTCTCTGTAACTTGCCTGTTACAGGACACACACAAAACCAAGTCACTAAGTTATCTAGCAAGATGTTGTCTACATTAGGGCCACTGAATCTCTTTCAGCCCAAGGGCTGAATTTGGTTTTGGAAAAGTTCAGAGTGAATGGGTAGGGGGCATATTCCCGGGGTGGGAGGGTCTGAAGGCAGAAGTGGGGAATTGAAAATGCTGCTATATTTTAACTTAAAGGCCTTAGTAGAACTGTTTCACTGTTTTGGAATCCACAACGTTTTATGGTCAACAGCAGCGCTTCAAATTGCATTTGTGGCTCCTGCTCCAGCCTGCTCATGAGCATAATCTATTGGAGACTACCTATATAATTATACACACAGACAGACACTATGTTAAGCAAAAGCAGGCATATCCAGGTTGAGTAAAAAGTTGGATTTTATTGGCATATTTTGGGGGAAATGTTCCTTCTTATTTAGTGGAACCTCTTTTGGGGAAACATCAGAAATGTAGCCACTGTATAAACATCCACAGATTTTCATGAACTATAGACTTCATCCAAACCTTACAAAGGGACTGAGTGGCATGCCGGCATGCTAAGTTCTTTGAACCAGACCAGCCAAGAAGAAGGTGTCCTCTAAGGTGAGTGCATAGCCTTCTTCAAAGTATGGTGTTTCTGAATTAGGATCAGAAAGCTCCAGGCTGGATGGGAGAAAAAGTTAGATGCACTGGCATGTCCTACATACAGTATCTGTTGCGCATACCAGCGTGTTCTGGTTAGTTGTGTCTTTGCACGGTCCAGCTGCGGGCAGCCCACCTTGGCTGCTTAGTTCCCTGCTACAGTGCTTTGGTGCTCCTGGCCTGCAGCAATGGCAAAGCGTGCTTTTTCTGCACAGGGACTGAATGGGCATTCAGAGGAGATGCACCTCAACTCCTGGAGACATACCTGTTGCATGTCCCATGGCCTCTACACGTGCAAGCAGAACTGGATCATGCCCTTATTTTAGTCAAGCTCTTCTCCATTGCTGATTGACACACTTGTTTTTCTAGATTCTATCTATGCTCTGGCACTGAATATATACATACATACATACATACATACAGCCTGCCCATTCATATTAATTTAGCCAGGAATTAAGGGGGAAAGTTATTACTGCAAACCACATCCACCACTCTATGCCACTACAGAAGTAGCAACAGTCAGTTGGATTTACATTTTACTTTTTTGTACACTAACTGGCATATATGATTTTATACAGTTATTTTCTCCATCAGGTTATGTACATTTTAAATAAGGCAGCAGGTTAAACAACAAGAAAAAAACAAGTTCGGCAGCAACTTGATGCTCCACAGCCAAAGTTATCACTGGTTTTCCAGGGCCATCTCCAGAAGGAAAATTCAAGTCAGTCTCTGACAGAACCACACTCTGAAGGGAGCCCTTCTGATTTCCTCCACTCTGCCAGGCGCTTCTTGAACCATTTCTAGAGAAAAAGGGAATGCAGCAAGATAAGTTGGGAGAAACTGAGATGATTGTCCCACTACATTAAGAAAAAGTCTTGCAACTGGGGGTGGAACTAGGGCTCCATAATGTAGCCCCCCTCCTCTGCCAATGACACCCACAAGCTGTGATTTCCTGCAAATAAGCTAGTTCAAGGCAGAAGAGGAAATTCCTAAATAATTATGAGCTTATTGTCCGCTGCGGCAGCAGGCTTTTGTTCTTGGACAATAACTATCAGGAGGCTAGGCAGAAAAGAGTGACTTATTTAGAACAGAAGAAGTGGGGAGAGTATTCAGGCAAAAATAAAGAGGAGCACAAGAACAGTGGACTAAATGCAGAGTGAAAGAAAAAAATGCAGCAGATTGCAAGGTAAGTATACTTCATATATGCATATTAAACTGTAACAATTTTCTGGGGAAATCTTAAGCTTCATTCAGTAGGCTGAAAAGCATAACTTGGTACTGTTTTGGCTTCTGTTGGCTCAAGTAGAAGTAAAGATGGGAGCCAAAGGAAGAGCGTACCTTTCACAAGAGAGAGGAGCACAGCCCGAGGCCTAGGTTTGAGCCAGTCCAGAGCTTATACTCAGCATCCTTGGGTTAGGTTTGCCCCTCTCCTCTTAGCCAAACAACTCAGTCACTTAGACAGCTTTCCCCAACATTGTGATGATATTACATGCAAACCTGGCTGCAGGGTTCCAGGGCCCAGTGGGTCAACCACAGGTTTTATTCACAAGTCTGCCTCTTTCAGTTAAAATATATAGGATGGGGACATGGCAGGTCTAATTTTTACACAGGGGTGCCTCGAATTACTTCCTTTTCCCTCCTCCTCCCTTTCCTATCATCCATCACTGCATACACTTTAATCTCAGTGTAGTCACAGTATCAGAAATGAAGAAGGCTGGGGGAAAGATCCTGGTAGCAACGGAGGCTTTGGGCAGGGACCATGCCTTCTTTGTCCCCGAGAGAACGTGAGGCACTGTGGAAGTTCTTTCTGGGGAGTCAGGTGGTCTATGAAGACTCACTAACATGTGCAAGGACTGCTTGCTGCAGCAACCAGAGCATGGTGAACACGCATATCTGGAGCAGCCCACAGTAAATGCACCAGGTGTGTCTGCTGCTGGGCGGAAGGTGGAAGGCTGAGCTTAGACGGAAGCTCTGCCAGTCCTGAGAAGAATGCAGAGGAGCTTCCAGTGGGCTCAGCTTCCCGGATTGCAACTGGCCTTCATGTTCCATAACTCAGGCACCCACCAGCGTCTCTTCCTCGGTCAGCCCGGCCTCAGCAGCAACAAGGCAAAGGGTGGCTGGGTCTGGGTGCTTGTTCACTTTGTTGAAATTATACTCCAGGATCTCCAGCTGTTCCTCTGTGGGGCTGACAGCCTTTTCTGTGGCCATCTTCTCTTTGCAAAGACTGACAGCAATATGGAGCTAGAAAGACATACCATTGTTAGAGTTAATTCTTGTGCAAAGTTTACCACCTGACTCTTCCCTTAGAGACAGCTCCCTTGAGATTTTTGACAAATGCTCCAATTTTGCCATTCCGTGTTTGAATGAGGAATGCTGGATTTGAAATTTCTATTTTGAATATAAAACTCCCTTCCTTTTAATTCAAAGTTCAAGTGTTTCAGACTTACTGGCAACTCTTGGCTTCTTGGTATTTAGCAGGCATCAGATATTATATCTGCTAACCACCATCACATGTCAATGATCAGATGCAATCAAATACTAAATAACATTACCTGTCAAATATAAAATGCTGACCTACTTCAACTGTTTGAGTATTAAATGCTGAAATTAAGTGGAACCAGATGCAAACATAAATATCAAGTATTCTGTAGCTAGTTACCATACTTATTAAAATTCAATCAGGGTGAATTTGGGAAGCAAATTCTATCCTGGATTAATCAAAATATTAGAAAACATAGCTTTGACATCTACTCACAGTGCCAATAGCACTAAAAGTTGTCTTAGATTATTGACTATTAGATTATTTCTGTATCCCTTAGTATGATTTTTCCATTAAGACCCTTGTTTCTGAATGTCAAGCATGTTGCATCCTCCCCTTTCCCTATGCCTCATTGCTCACCATACACAGTTTCCCAGGACTATTTACAGTTTTTAAAGTAGCCCAACTGTAAAAGCTTTTAAAAATGCCTTTAGTGCCTGCAGTTGCAGCCCAGGAATAAGCTTTCCACAAAATATCAACTGTAAATCTAGCCAATTTCCCTTGAGAATGTCCCAATTCTATCTAGTCAATTTCACAGCAATCTAATCAGACAACCCTATCTAGTCAAGTTCACAAAGCTGTTAACTAGCTTGATTTTCCAAGCAAGTTAGTTGGCTTTGAAACCAGAAATGCACTGCTAGCACTAGAGGAAGGGAACCCCTAACACGTCATGCATTGCCAATGCGTGTGTTGAATTCTGTATTTTTCTTATGGGATTTTTTGCTGTACGAATGGAATAATAGAAAAAACAGTGTGACATTGTGGGAGTTTTACTATATTTGTTTGTTTGTTTGTTTGTTTGTTTGTTTGGAGTTTTTATATGCCGTCCCATCGCTTAACGCCTTGGGACGGCTTACATAAATAAACATAAATAGACAACATAGTGCCCAATACAAATACAAAAAATACAAATTACACAAATTAAAAACTCCGATTCATTCTGGCTGGAAGTTAAAACCTATAGATAATATTAAACATTGTTAAAATATTGTTTAAATAAAGAGGTCTTAGCCTGGTGCCGAAAAACAAATAACGACGGTGCCAGGCGGACCTCTCTGGGAAGTGCATTCCATAAATGGGGCTAGTGGATGATTATGAGCATTTTACCCAAGGCTGTTTAATCCCTGCTTCTACTTTCTGTTCATCACAGCATGGAGATCCAAGTGTTATACAAACAGCAGTTTCTTTCCTGCTTCTCCACTATGTGACAATAGCAGAACAGCACAGACACAGAAGGGAAAAAATGTTTTCTTCCACTTTTACGTCGAACACTGCATTTTTCCTGTGCTACCAACCAACTGTGATTTTTAGACACAGATGCTAAACTGGAGGGTCACAACATTGCCTAAAAAACCCTTAAGCAACTATGAACATCTGGAACCCCTGCAGAATTGCAGGAAGGAAGGAAGGGTGCTGTGAAAGGCCTAAAAGCACTGGTAGAGTGGCAAGGGAGCCCTTACAATTCAGGAATTGGGGGAAAGGCTGCCTTATCACAGGGTGCTGCATCCAGACAGACTTGTGCCCCTCAGCAACTTTTCTTTTTTAAAAGAAATCAAGGTTTACACTTCAGTATTTTTAAAACACAGCAACCTCTCTGTAAATAGGATGCAATTTACTAGGAAAATCAAGATGTTGGGTGTTATCAAAAGATCAGTACACTAGTTGTTCAGTGTCTACCTGCATATGACTCACTGAAACCATTAACACATCGCTTGAAAGGTTGAGTTCATTTGCGTTCACTAACTAGACAGGCAGTTTAGTTTAGCTTTCTTACTCTTTAGAAATGAGAATGCCTAAAAGGACAGTCCAACAGATACATAAATATCTTGCTGATGTTACCTAGGGGTCCTACTATGCTAGCAGCTGATCCACTAGGCACACTCCAGCGCAAGGTAGTCACAATCCCTGACACACTCTCCTCCGCACGGGGACAGCAACACAGGGGCACAGATGGCTGCCTCCAGAGTCCCTGGCAGTATCTCACTACTCACCAGCGGTGACACAGTGCATCACTGCAGGCATGCAGGACACCCGTCAAATGTGGCAAGAGCATGAGGCCATCCTTACACGCCCTGCCCACCGGTCTACTTCCTCTGATTATGTTCCCTCGTGTAGCCCATCACATCTGTCTGAGAGACCCGAGACCAGGCCTTGCATGGTCAGACGCTGCCTCTTCGCTTGCTGCTAGAGTGAGGCAGGGGCATGGGTTGCTGGCGCTATGAGAAAGCGAGAGTATGTCAGGATCTGGATGGCCTATTTATAGATAACAGTGTGCTAATGTTATGCTTGTCTGTTTGCATTTGAAAGAGAATCCAAGTGTGTTTGTTTCCACATTTCTATAAAAGGCTCTTGTGGAGCGGGAATGTTTAACTCAAGAAATAATTCAATAGACCAGGGAGAACATTTGCAGAGTTCTTGTATGATCTGCAAACCAAGGGTTTGTGATGCCTCTTATTTGTTTATTCATTTTATAGATTTATATGCTGCCTTTTGATCAAAAGTTCTCCAAGTTGGCTTATAGTATGCCAGAACAATACTGTTTTCTGATATGTAACCAACAACGTCCTTTGCTCTTTGTGGACCAATGCGATCTGCCTTTGTAGATCTGCTGAAGATGGATGTTTAGATTAATGTTCTGTTGAATCCAGCAAGACAATTCTTTTACTATGTGAGAGACTTTAGCTCAGTGATTGAAGCACATGCTGTGCATGCATTTGGCCTCAAAGCCCAGACTGAGAGCCTGGAAAACTGCTGTTAGCCATGGCAAATAATACCGAGTGCACATTCTGAGCAGATTTAAGGAATCTTCCCATTTTCTTATGATTTAATGGCACAAGAGTCTTCCTCCAAAGAAGACAAGACAAAACAAAACAAAGCCAATGAAATACTTTCAGGAGGAGGACATTCAGAGCAGTGAGCCAGCGTGGGATGAGATACTCAGCCATTTCATTGCCAGCCACATTTCCATTCCAAATCCCCTTCCTAGATGCTGTCTCTTCCTTCAGGTTTGGAACAGAAGTTTGCTAGCAGGAAGGCCCCTAGAGTAGTGCTGCATGGGGAGCCTGGGGGAAGGGGAAGAACTAAGCTGCTTCTTCTCATTTCACTATTTCTCTGTTGCAAATCCTAGTCTCAAGACTATGGACCAAGCCAATCGGTTTCCTAACCTTGGGAAGCGACCTGAGTATTTCTGAGCTGCTCTTCAAAAGCCAGGAGTCACTATTTGCAATTCAGATACAATGTAGACAAAACCAGGTGGAGATCTCTGTACATCTTTGGTCCATACCCAATACCTGTTTCCTAGGAGTCTCTCTCACCAGGCAGTGGCCATTTCCACAGACTGCAGAACATGCAGAGATGCGAGGTTGTGTCAGTCAGATCTACTGAAAGACCAGCTTTTTCAGGCTCCTGCCTCAATTATCCCCAGGTGGAGCAGAAGCAGGGCCATCATGACCAGTAACCATGGGTAGCCTTCTCCTCCATGAATTTGTGTAATCCCTTTTTAAAGCCATTCAAGTCGGTGGCCCTCAGTACCAATTGTAGCAATGAGTTGTATTGTTTAACTGTTTCAATAGGTATTCAGTAATATTAAATAAAGCACTTTGTGCTGGCTTAATTTGGAAATAAAATAGAATTGCTAAAACAAATCTGTACTACTAGTAGTCTCTTCCTACACACACTTCCAATTTCTCCCTCTTTCCCTCCCTTTCAATTGACGTTTTCTTCAATTGCCAGAGAAGCTTTTCACCCAGAGGCCCTAACAGGTTTTGAAAAATGCAGGCAAGCATTATTGCTGATTCTGCTACATCACTACTGCATGAGCATTTCAGAAGAAGCAGAACCGCACTACACAAAGGCAAAGGAATTTTTCTCAAGGTAGAGCAGGAGGATCAAAGCCACAAAAACCCTCCAAAATTGATTAGATCTTCACATTACCGGACAAGATGCTCTGTGGCAATATTTAGCCTCTGCAGAGAAAGTGATACACAAATAATATTATGGAAACTGTTTGCCCCCTTGAAAGGTGCTTTCTTTCCAATATATGTTACAAACCAAGCACTAAGTGCTGCAATTGTGGTAGAAGCTCTGGCGTTGTTTCCTTGAAGTGACCTTCCTGATGAATTCTTAATTTTGCCACATGGGATGCGATAAGAAATGAATGGCAGGCCCCAATTCACGCTCTGCTGATTCTTCTCCGTGAGTAGGAAATTTAAAGTACAGCATGGTCAAGTGAAACATGGCGCTCTCCCCTCCACGCACAATACTTTCCCACCTGAAGCGGTTAGTGTGTGCTTCTCTACTTATGTAAAATATTTCTAGGTGATCTTTCAGAGCAAAAGGCTTCCCTGCATCTGTTTTCCTTAAGCCAGGTTTCTCCCAGCAAGTGTTGCATCCGGGGTCAGAGCCCAACTGCACAAGGAATGGACTTTTAAAAGTAATCTGGAGAGATGAAGGACCTGCCTGAGAGGATTCAGGTCTCTCCTCGTATCCACCCATCCTGCACTTTAAATCAGCCTAACCCTGCAGTTTGTAGGGATGTGGCAGCCGAACCGCATCTTCTATGCACTGGTAGATTGGCAGCGTATTGAATTTGGCTGGCAGCACAGGCCCTCATCAATAAATTGTGGTGTCAGCCTTTATACACTGCAACAATCAATACTGAAGCCACTGAAAAACAACTCCAGGGGAGCCCGTACAAAAGGTAGCATTTCAGCGATTGCTAGTGAAGGTGCTGCAACTAGCCAAGTATCCATGGCTAAGCAGTTTGAGCAGCAGTGTCAGTTGAATGAATCTCTCTGTGTAAACTCTCAGTGCATTGCTCTGCCTTTCTTCAGACTGCAGTTTCCTACATCTCCCAGTCACTCAAATAGCAGCTTCCAAATCGATTCAGGAAAGAAGAGCCATGTGCAGGCTTTTACCTGTCCTGCCCTCATCTCAGTGATATCTACAACGTCCCCGATGCATTGTAACGACACCACTTTTGCATGTTTCGTTAGTGGAGGCACCTCCCCGTTTTACTTTCTGGGAAGGATAAAGGCAAAGATTCCCCCTTCAGTAGCTGACAGTTGACTCAGACGGATCCATCCACAGAGCCTCACCTGCAAGTGGATGTTAAATTGCAAAATATCTGCTAATGGGGGGGGGGGGGAGAGAGGAGAAATATGGCCTTCAAGACAGGCTGTGAATGCGTGGCTGGTTGAGGGGGTCCCCTCTAGCTGCCCACTTTGCTTCTCTGCCCTTGCCTTGATAGGAGGACCGCTTAAGCCTGCCCATCCCTGCATCCTGCTACGGGCAGTGCAAAGAGAGAAAGAGAGAGAGAGAGAGAGAGAATGGGCAGCAGGGAGCAGCTGCTTAGGCCTTCCTTTGCCTGCTCATTCTCCCCTGTGAATCCCATCTCCCAAACCAGGTTTTTGGACTTCCAAACCAGAAGAACAGGCTGGGATAAAATAGTCTGAAGGAGGCATTTTCAGGAGGCTTAGCAGGTACAGGAGAGGTAAAAACCCCTCCTGCCCTTCCGCTCACTCACTGCAGGCATTTGCTGAGGGAGCACCTGGTTCGCTGCCCCATTATCCTTACATCAGCCTTGGGCTGGATCCAGGGGCCTTGCTGGAAGGGGACTTCCTGCACCTGCCTTCCCACACCCACCTCAGAAAATGCTATAAGAGACTGCCCTGTGGATGGTGGAGTCTGCAGAGGGGCCATTTTGATGAAAAGGCTTGCCTGCATACGGCCTAATGTATTAGTGGTTTCATGAGAATGGAACCAGGGAGTTTCATGCACTTTTGCTTAAGGAAATCTTTGCAACAGACAGACAAGGTTTTAAAAACAAAGAGCTGATGAGATTTTTAAAAATGCAAATAGTAATGTGGAGGACTGAAATCCTGATAATTATCTGGATTGCAACTGGCATGGAGATGGCAATTTATCTCCTTCCTCTCCTGATAAAATTTTGAAGAAACTTGAAGCTGCTATTTGCATTGGGAGAAAATTCCCCTATTGGCATTAATGGGGGATTTCCTCACCATCTCCCAGCACTTTTACAAGAATGAAGGATTCCAGTGGGAGAGGCAAGGGTTAAATTTTCCCTCCACTTCTACTGTAATACCAATCCCCTGCCCCTTATGTACACACACTGCACACGTGCACAGTAATGCTCTTCACATTTTTAAAAACCTGCATGTTAAACACACACACAAAAAATAATAATGTCATGTCTAGTTTGGCCTTGGTACTTCAAAACATGAAACCAAAGGTTTGCATAATGAAAGAAATGCAAACAGAATGCTGAAGAATACAAACAAAAGAGCAAAGTGTTTTTCCCCTGCCTGCAGATGTCCTCTCCTTTTCTGTTCCAGCAGACTCTTTTAAAAAAGATTGATTTCACTTTGTAAGCCATTGCAGGGAAGCCAATGATAGCTGCTCACAGTCCCTGGTTGACCTGCCACTCCTGAGGATGAAGCACCAGAGGACACTAAGGCCATTCACTAAAAGTTGTTTGGCACTTGCTCTGCCCGTTTTGACCAGAAATGTAATCTCCGTCCAGCTTCTCTTCCAGGAAACACAGTTTTGTTACTTGCCCTTCAATGCTGCTGTCAGCTCGGCTCCCCTTTGGCAGCCCTTGTGTCTGAGGAGAGAATGGCTGTGCTGGGATACTGCTCCCCACTGCCTCCTTCCTCACCTGGCGCTGCATCTTAATTCCCTGGCCGGCGTCTGCAGAGAGGGCTGTGGCAACCAAGGGCCATGGGGCCTTCTCCCGGGAAAGCCAGGCTGGAGCTCTGCTTGGCAAGGGAAGGGGGGCAGCTGCGTTGCTATAGGCCTCATGGCAGCCCAGTTCCTACCTTCCAAAGGAGGCCTGTTTGATTAAGAGCGCTCAGGGCTGCCCTTCTCACTCTTTCTTACACTTGCCTGCACTGAGCTGGGCCAGCCCACGAAGGGAAAGGGGGTGTGGTGGGTTGGAAAAGGGTTAAGTCTCCCTGCACCCCCCACTGCTTCCTTGCTCCAAATCGTCCTCTCCTGAAACTATGCTTCAGTGGTCTTGGGAGCTTGTCGCGTGTGTGTGTGTGTGTGTGTTCTGCAGGGTTTGATTTTGACTCCCATGCTTTTTCACATTTGTGTGAAACCACTGGGTGAGGTCATCCGGAGGTGTGGGCTGAGGTGTCGTCAGAAGGCTGATGACACCCGGCTCTACCTCACTTTTTCATCTGACCTAGATGACAGTCCAGTGACTGTCCTGGACCAGTGCCCAAATTCAGTAATGGGCTGGATGAGGGTCAATAAACTGAAGCTGAATCCAGACAAGACAGGGCACTGTTGGTAGGTATTCCCACACTCCAACTAGCAAATTTTCAACCTATCCTAGACAGGGTTACACTCTCTCTAAAGGATAAGGGTCATAGCTTAGGGGTACTCCAGGACCCCAAGCTCTCCCTGGTTTCTCAGGTGGATTCGGTGGCCAGGAGCACCTTTCTTCAGCTTCAGCTATGTTCCATCTTGGATGAGTGGAGCCTTGCCACTGTGGTCCATGTGCTGGTAACCTCTCTCCTGGATTACTGTAAGGCGCTCTATGTGAGCCTACCTTTGAAAATGATCCAGACACTACAACTAATACAGAACAGGGCAGCACAGCTGCTTACAAGGACTGGCCAGGGAGAATACATTACACCAGTCCTCCATCAGCTGCACTGGCTCCCTGTTCTAGTCTCACCCATTTCAAATGTTGTCTTTGACATATAAAGCCCTAAATGGGAACAGAGTATCTGAAGGAGTGCCTCTTTCCATATATTCCTACCCACCCACTTAGATCCTCCTCTGAAGTCTTCCTCCAAATAACACCCCCCACCCCCGTGAGATCAAGGAGGAACAGACATTTGTACCTGGGGAGCAAATTCCAGAGTGGGCATTTTGCTCCCCAGGAATAAATGGCTGGCATGGACTTTGCTTTCTTTTAGAAGCTAGGTAAAAACTTTTTTGTTCAAACAAGCTTTGGGTTAATTTAAGTTGTACATTGCTATTGACTGTTTATTTAATTTTGGCTGTTAATTTATTTGATCGTATTGGTCATGTTGTGTATGGTTTTATTTATTATGTGAGATGATGATGATGATGATGATGATGATTATTATTATTATTATTATAACATTTCTATGCCGCCCCTTGCCGAAACCTCGGGGCGGAGATGGTTTAATAATTTACTAATTTTATTGTTTTATCTGTTTTATTCATTTTATGGATTGTTTTCAAATGCTGCTTTCAGTATTTGTAACCCGCCCAGAAAACCTTCAGGTTATGGAGAAGCATAGAAGTAGAAGGAAATAAAATAAATGTATGAATGAATAAATACATGAACATACAGAGTAGTTAGGCCCTGGAACCTATTCTAATAGTGATCCAAACTGTTAGGTCCCTGAGCAAAGGCAAGTTTTCCTACACTCTAACTTGGGTGGGGGGGTGAGAGGGGAATCAGAATAAGGAAATGGGTATAAAACTAGTGTAGGTATGCTAATGTTTACAAGACAAGGTAAGATTGCCTACTAGCCGGGCAAACAAAGAACACGGCCGGGTTTCCTCTGGCAGTTATAGCAGTAATCTTAAAACTGAACATTTTATGGCAGGAAGCAAAACATTATCATCTGCCAATTACTGCAGGTCAAACTGTGGAAGAAGGGACTTCTACAGCCTGCTCTCCCAGGAGAGGGGGAGTAGGCTGGCAACCCACAGGTATGTTCACTGATCCCGAGGTATCCGGGCATCAAATTGGGAGCAGCCACTCAGCTGCTGGGGGAGCTTGACTTTACTCTGGAGTGGTTGGCTGGCCTGCATAGCAGCTGGGAGATCAATTCAGGAGCTCCTCTTGGGTGGGAGTAAAGCTTGGTGCTGCGGCAGAGTGTATCTACTTGCACCTACAGGCAGAAACTTCTCCAGTGTATCTCTGTACTATTCTGCATATGCTGCCCCATGCATAGGAGGCTGCATGACTGTTGGCTGTGGGGGGGGGGGGGTCAAGAAGACAGGGCTACATCCCCTGATGTCATTTGGTCCCCAGCTGGGGTACTGGCTAGACGATCTACCAGGTGTGTCAGCCAGGAACCAGCTTCAAAAGCCTATGTGCAAAAGCTACTTTGCCTGCCTTACTCCTGCTTCCACTGACAGAAGGCAAAGGAAAAGTGAAATTCACTTGTCTGTGGCTTGCAGAAACTTCTGAAAGAGCTGCTGAATTCCCTTGTTATCTCCAGTCTATGTCTGGAGCTATGACTGCACTCTCCTGCTGCCTCGCAAAGCCCCTGGTACCCTTCAGAACAGGGGAGGGAAGTGGCTGTTCTGACAACTGGCCTCAACTGTACATTTCTGGCCATGCTAGCAACCTTTCTGACCAGGTGGCTCCAGAACAGGTGTTAATTTAACTGACAGGTAGGATCGCAAAAAATCTTGAGCTGCCCCTGGTTACACCTTCAGCCCTCTGAGCAAAGAACAGTAAGTGAGAGCTGGTGATCTGTTTGGGGAGAGCTTGAGTGGACATCACAGCAAGAAAGACAATAAAAGAGAGAGAGAGAGAGAAAGTCAGAATAAGGAAAAGACTGAATAAGAGAGAAAGAGAGAGCGAGAGAGCAAGCACGCAAGCTGTTTTAGGAAACATGGGGTTGTTACACTGGAGTCTCTGGCCAATTTACTGGTTCTACATACAGAGGGTCAAAGGGGACATTATTTTGGCAAGCATGGGATGTCATCCCATGCTCACTGAGATAATGGGGGAATGCACGAGCTAAGGAGCACTTCCAGGGAAATATGGGCCAGTGGGATGGAGAAATACTTAACCCCTCCAGGGCTTGCCACTTCTTCAGGCTTGCCCACCCTCAACCCCCACCACTGAAAGGCCTCCTTCCAGTTTGGAAGCGTGGCTGACTGTGATGCCTTGTAAGGGAGAACTGGCAGGGGGTGAAGGTTTGCACATCTCACCCAAGTCCATTGATTAACTCCTGCAATTCCCTGCTACCACAGTAGCATTACAATAAAGGACAAACAGGGGTGGAGGAAGCCATTCTTCCTCCCCACCAAGACTTCTAGGTCTGCCGGGAATTACTCCATTACAAG